ATTTGGTCCTGATAGTGCCGTCTACCCAGGAGTTCTTCCTGTGCTGGATGCCGCTCCAGGTGAAGAGCTGCGGATCGTCGAGGTCGTTGAAGATGTTGTTGGAGGTTCAATTGATCTTGGGACCCGAGAATTGGCCTTTGTAACGAGCAAGTCTAGAGGACTCCTCGCTTCTCCAAGATGTTATTGATGAAACTATTCATAATTCCCATAGCCTTGTTGGAAATTTCGATGGCCGATAGCAGGACCTCAGAAGAAACGAAACATCTCCTACCCCGAAATTAACAAACTCCATTTTTCAAATAATTACAAAAATATCTGGTTGTACCAAATCACGCGATACAGTCGGGTGTATGATATACTTCCTCTGTTCTTTTTTAATTGCAATGATCCAATTTTCACACTTGCCAACGTACAAGTGTAACCATTAGTATCTTTCATTCCCTTTTAGTAAGAAAATTAAAAAATTGAGATTTTGAAAATTTAAAAAGAGAGGAATTCATTTTTTTAAATTTAACAAATAATACATTAATAAATAAAATATAATCAAAATAGAATATGTGAATAGTGAAAACAGTCTCATGTTGCAATTAAAAGAGACCAAAGGTAGTATTTTGCCACTGCTTTTAAGTTACAGGCAAACTCTTTTTTTCGGAAAAATAATTTTACACGTAACATTTTTACATAAAGACTACAAGCCCATTCGGGAAAGATAAAGTTCAAGGCTCTCTATTAGACTCCAAACATATCATTTCCACCCAAATTGACGCATTCACAAACTTTAATCTTCATGCCTTTCCCCAGTCAATTAATTGTTGTGAGTATTGTTTGATTTTAAAGTAAATGAATCCTTTTATCAGACACTTCGTAATATGGAATAGATAATTGCTTGTGAATTGAGTTGTCATTTTTTAAATGAGTTGCATGGTAGATAAGAAATTTATTTCACCAAGACAAAACCAGATGGAGAAGGAGAAGGAGATTTAGTAATATGGTTGACGAGCTCTTTCTTCATATTAAAATTCGATATATTTATTCTTCGTAAAAGAGATGTAAACTACGTACTAGTTTACTACATTCCTCCAACTAAAATATTTTACATGTACAAGGTAAAATATTTTGCAAAAAAGTTTTATATAGTTTACATTAAATAATTAAAACAAACAATGTAAAATGTTCACACCCTCACATTTTACATGCAAAATGTTTACTTTACACCACAATAAATGCCCCCCTAGACACTAAAATTTAGACGATGCACAAAAAGTGATTTTTTTAATATTAAAAAATGTGATTAATAAGCATTAGATTTTATCTGATAGTGACCTGACTTGACACAATGACTAGCTCAAGATTGAATCTCCTTGACCAACACGAGATATTCAACAACTTCAAGTCTATGAATACAAAAGAAGTGTGGTGAGTTAAGAGTGTGCAACTAAGAAGGAAAAATGAGCTTATACGACATTTCTAGCAAAGGAGCAAGTACTCATCTATCACTCATCTTCTTAGCTCACCCCACTTCACTAAGCTCTTAGATTAGTTCATTCATGAATATATCTTTAGAGTTTAGATTAGTGGGTTGTTTAGATTTTCTTTCTAAAACTAAACAGATTGTAAATCTGGAGAGCTTCATGATCAAATCCAGAGTGTAGAAGAAGGACACGAGTAGCTTTTAACAAGCCAATGTTATTAGTGAAAAACCTTGTAGAGGATATGAGTGAATAGCTTTGAGTGGTGTTCAAACTCCATGTAAAAAAACTAACAATCCATGCTTGTGATCAAGGGTAGATTGGGCACTAAGTGAATTGGGCTGAATAACTGAGTGAAATCCCTCTGACAGAGGATGTGACTGGATGTAGGAGGATTCCCCGCCACCTTTGAACCAGGATATATCTTGTGTTCCTTTTACTTTCAGTTCCTACACTAGTATATTCATACTCGTCCTAAACACCTATCCAAAACACAACTCTCAAACAACCTTCACCTTGACTAGTAAACTATACTATCAAAGAGTTATTTTACATACATAGTTTACTAAACAAAATATCAGTATTCCTTAAACACCAACAACCTACTCAAGTAGCATGTTAATATCCATCTCATTCATAAAGTATTTACAAACAACTTAAAGTACCAAAAACTATCACTTCAGAAGCAATCCATGGACTAGCCTGATTTTACACAATTGACCAGCAGTCTCCTGCTAAGTCACGGGCAGTCTACTCTTAGTCTAATCAGATAGTAGCATGCTACTCACTATACGCAGTCCTTAAACACTTCATAAATACTTTGATTGTTGTCTAGATCCATCTCCTCACCAATACCGAAAGGGTCATAACCTATATCTTTTGTTACTATCAGTATCAAGGTCTCCCAAAAATTTTGGAAGTCATTCTATTAGAGGGGAATCTTTGAAAAAGAGAAAAGATTTAAAACTCTATTCAATCCCCCACCCCCAGACTTTTACCTCATCGGGGACCATCAGTTATATCGTGAGAGCAATCCATGGTGAGCATCGTACTCCCACAACTAAAATACAAGTGAACATTTACACGTGTCAACAATCACTTTTATTTATTTTAGTAGTAAGGTCGTGTAACTCGCGTTTAAAGAAATGCAAGTCACGTTGATGGGAAATATAACTAGATGCAAGTCAAAATGTAAATTGTCTAGTATGGAGTATAAGAAATAAAACATTGATATCAATGTAAACAATGAAAAAAGGAGTCTAGTTCCCAATTACATTACGTAAATAATGAATATGTTTTGTTTTTAATGTAAGAGTCGTAAAAAAATAAAAAAATCACAATCACGTAGCCAAAACTCGTGTAAACAGTAATTTTTTATTTCAATAGCAGTGTTAATTTTGTAATATAACTCGTGTTATGACAAATGTAACTCGCAATGATGGCCAATGTAACTCATGTGTATGTAAAATGTAACTTGTTGAGACAAGTCCAAGTCTAACTCGCGCATATGAAATTGTAACTCGCTCACATGAAGTTGTAGATCATGCATAAAAAGATATAACTCGCGCACATGAAGCTGTAGATCATGCATAAAAAGATGTGACTGTCGCACATGAAGATGTAGATCATGAATAAAAAGATGTAACTCACACACATAAAGATGTAACTCCATGTATTATCAAATGTTAATCCAGGAATCATGTATAAATGTAACTCATACACATAGAAATGTAAACTGCACGTATGAAATAAACATACTCAATGACCTAAATCATATGAGTGGTTACGGTTGGAATGAAGATGATCAATGTGTGACATGCACCAAAGATGTCTTTGATGACTAGGATATAGTTGAGTATATATACCCTTACAGCCCACTGTATAGTTACAATATATTTTTGTGTCTTTTCTATGTGCAGAGTCATCCAAGTGCTCTCTTGATTTAAGCAATAAACCTTTTCGAAACTATGATGAGCTGGTTGAGGTGTTTAAGAAGCTTCAAGCTACAAGAGTTGGAGCCGAGAATACAGCTGATGCAATTGAAGACTTGATATATGAAATTGGCGAAGAAGCTAATTTTCAAGATGGACAAGAATGAGATGATGAAACTCATTTTGGAAGCGCATATAGAGAACATCAAATGAGTGACAAGGGGCTAGTACGGATGGTGTATCTATTACAAAGAAGTTTTACTACTTTGGTTGTTGAGATATGAAAGTTAGAACCTTCTTACTAGGAGAACACCAAGTGCCTAAAAAATATTTCTTCCTTCTTTAGTTAAGAAGCTGCTAGAACTGATAGAAGATTGATGATTCTTAATGAGCATTAAATTGAAAGTTTTCTCAAAACAAAAAGTGATGGATGCAGGTGAGCATATATTGAAAGATGCTCACAAGTTTGATATTGTTTATGCTCTTCCTATCGCATTTAAAAAGGATTATGTTCTAAAGATATTGACATATTTTGCCCCATATCATCCCACCTTTACCTTTGAAAATTCTTTTGGATGTGTTAATTTTGAATTATAGTATAAAGCAAGGAGGTGATGATACATCTAGACTTTATTTTGCTAGTACATTCTAGTCATCTAGTGACTATTACAATGTCACTAATAGCTTCACTACATTGACAATATTATCTTAATATACTGTTACCTATACATTATTGGGTGGTTAACTCAATGATGTTTAAAAGTGTTATAGAACTATAAGTTGCAACATTCACTTGTTTTTGCTACAACTATTTTGGTAATGATATATCCACCTTTATTTATTAGTGTATGTCATTATGTGTTTACTTAAATAAAATTATTTATTAATCACTAGTACAAAAAAGGCTTTTTACATCACTTTATCTACATGTGTTATCCTATAACCCATGTAAAATAGTGACACGGGCTCATTTTTATAATTTTTAAAACCTTTTTCACATGGATCGTTGTTATAATCATAACCTAGAGGTGTTTCCAGGTTCTCGAGAGTTATGTGAGGTATAATCATAACCTAGATTCTTGTTGCAAAAACACAAACAATAGAGGTTAACTAAAAAGTGAACATGCAATAACCTCACTTAACCTCCATAAAGTTTTAATGTGTGAACTATGAATAAATTTCACTTTTGGTCCTATGCGTTTTTGGTCAATTTCATATTTAGTTCACATATATCACTTTGTTCACTTTTGATACATGATTATTGTGTTTTTGCCCATATATGATCCTTCAGGCGTTGTTTCCGATGGTTAAAATCACCACCGGAGAAGGACCACAAACGGTTAAAAAACATTAGTCAAATATCCAAAGTGAATAAAATGAAAAGAAATTGTCCTAAATAGGACTAAATGAGACTTGGAATTCCAAAATAGGACTACTATGTTTTTCTTCCCGAAATAGGAGTTGTTACTGGCATGTATGAAAAATACTGCCATGATTGAAAAATAATGTCATTAATTATAATAAATAATGTCATGTTAAATGTATTGTACTGTAATTATTTTTCGATCATGCCTACAAGATACAATAAATACTGTCATATTACTTCTATTTCGAAATAACAACATAGTCATTATATTTTGAAATTCCAAATCTATTTTGAGAGATCACGAGGAGATCTCCCATAAACTAAAACTAAAGTGAACTTAAGGGAGAGCCGACGAGAGGTGGAGAGATCATGGAGGAGATAGGCTTTTTGGGGATCGGAATAATGGGGAAAGCTATGGCCATGAACTTGCTCCGCCATGGCTTTAAGGTCACTGTTTGGAATCGCACTCTTTCCCGGGTAAATATGATATACTAGTATCTATCTAGCAATGTAATGGTAAACTATGTTGCAGATATTAACATGGTTCTGTGAGTGCGTGACTACGATTTGAAGATCAACTTTGTTTTGCTACATTTTTTGGAATTTTTTGGAATGCTCACTGATGAGTGATGAGCAACGAGTACCTGATGTGCTTGATCCTATGGTGGACACAACCCTGATTTTACACTGAAAATAAGAGAGGCTTTAAACAATACTTCATTTTGTAACATACAGTAAGTAAGAACAACTTGAATGAAAAGAAAAATCTGGGGAGTTACAAAGAAAAGACATAGTGTAGATACTAGTGTTTATTCATTTTATCACCCCCCTAACCCTTTTAGAATTATCCGAGAAGGTAATTTTCATGATCATTTTATTGTATCATCTGCTCTTGTTTTTATATGTACCTTTTCCCATTTGATATACTTTAGTGAGGAACGTCGCTCTTCTTTTGACAGCTCAAGTGGAATCCTAATATTCATAATTTTTATAGCTATTGTTCTACAGTTAATTTATTAGATGCAATAGATAGCTTCTGTGAATATGAATGTGGAATGATGAAAATATCTTTTCATAAATGCAGTGCGATGAGTTAGTCGAACAAGGAGCTTCTTTGGGAGAATCTCCTGCAGCAGTAGTTAAAAAATGCAAATATACAATTGGAATGCTGTCTGACCCTTGTGCTGCTCTCTCGGTTTGTGAAGAGATCAACTTCATAATATGAACTGATGAACATATAGTTTCCTTTTCCTCTCTTTTGGGTAAATTTCAGTAGGTTATTTGTTTTTTGATTAACACTTAGGTGGTTTTTGACAAAAACGGTGTTCTTGAGCAAATATGTGGCGGAAAGAGTTATATAGATATGTCGACTGTTGATGCAGATACTTCTTCAAAAATAAATGAGGTATGGAGTAGATTATATCCACTATTTCTGTATCTCAAAGTTTTCACTTACTTAAACCACTAAAGTACTACTTTCAATTCTCTTGTAACAGTTGTAAGTGAAACCGTCAACTTAATATTAGAGCAACTTGTAACGTTAAGTTGCACTTTGATAGTAGCATTTGTTTTGGGTAGAGTGAGTTGATCAATATCCATATTACTATCCAAACAATAAAATTGCTCCCTGCGCGTATACTAGAGCCATTTAAAATTTAACTATTTGCCATACTTTGTTTAGTATTAGTAAGTAATATTTTATACGGAGTATATTTAGAAACTGCATGAAAAACACTACTCCCTCTTTCCCAAAAAAGAGTCAAATATTAAAACTTGTATTGTCACAAAAAAGTTCCATTTGAACAAAATAAGCTATTATTCATTATATATAGTGTATTTTTATTAAAGAAGTGCTGCAAACAAGTTAAGCATGTTAGATTTAGTTAAAACAACAAATAAACTCAAAACGTACCCGGAATTGATGCAGGCAATTATCTCTAGAGGTGGTACTTTCCTTGAAGCTCCGGTCTCAGGCAGCAAAAAGCCTGCTGAAGATGGGCAGTTGGTTATCCTAGCCGCTGGGGAGAAGGTAAACATATATGTTTGCCATATTTTATGGAGTTATGGTGTGCTTCTTCTAGTTTTTGATGAATTTGAATGTTTCTTTTTCCTATTTGTTGTAGGATTTATATGGGCAAGCGCTTCCTGTTTTTGATGTCTTGGGAAAGAAATCATTTTTCTTAGGACAGGTTGGAAATGGTGCAAAAATGAAACTTGTTGTGAACATGATAATGGGCAGGTAACAAAAGTTGTGTTATAGCTGCTTAATTTCAAATTTTATTTTCCAGGTCGTACTGATAAACAATGATAGTGTTCAGGATACACTGAAAGAGAAAAAATATGCATGCCTAGGGAGGAAATTATTTCATTTTGTATTCGGTGTTCATGGATTTTGAAATGCCAAGTCGAGAGAGATGTTAGATCTCTAGAGAGATAAGTAATATATAAAAATGCCCTGAGATTACAAGATTTAAACCCCTTCCACAATCCAGATGTGTGGTATTTATAAGGGGAGGGAATGCCTAGAGTCACACAGATGCATGCCGCGTGGCTAGCTACTCAGCCTGGGCTACACTTGGCTCAAGTCCAGCAGAAAGACTTACGTGTGTCCCTGCCCGCCTTACAGCCATGTAGATATGAATTGGGGTCGTTAGCCCTGATATTTTGTTCACATTCTGAAGATTTGAAGTACTTTACAAAGCTCTTAGCTGAGAATGCACAGTGCACTCGCGGCCTATACTGCACAAACTTTCTTCTCGAGCTCCCCAACCATGATACAACCCGCTAGTGGGCCCAAGAGTCCATGACAATATACTCCATCGGAAGTATAAAATCCTGTTTTCGGATTATAGACAGGGACGAAGAAAGTATTAATGATTTTGCTTAATTTTTTCACAATATATTCTGTATTCTGCAGCATGATGAATGTATTTTCAGAAGGACTCGCGCTGGCTGACAAAAGCGGATTGGAACAGCAAACTCTCCTTGATGTGTTGGTCAGCGAGCAAATTAGTTAGAATTTCTCTAGAAATATGGAGTAATAACCTTGTTATATAAAGAATTTGTTTTGGCAGGATCTTGCAGCGGTTGCTAATCCAATGTTCAAGATGAAAGGACCTTCCATGATAAAAAACAATTACTCCCCGGCATTTCCTTTGAAACATCAACAGAAAGACATGAGGCTGGCTTTGGCCCTTGGGGATGAAAATGCTGTTTCAATGCCTTTGGCTGCTGCTGCAAATGAGGTACATACATCTATGTACATGCATACGTACGTACGTGTATATATATACATGTATATATATGTTTGTGTATACATATGTTCATTCAATTTACATGCATGTGTGTGGGTAGATCCATAGATATTTACAAACACATAATATCATTGAATGTAGCATTAATTTCATGAGGCTCCATCTGACATTTTTTAAAATCATTCCCTTGGAAAAAGTGCAATGTTTTGTTGGAAAAACCAATGAGAAAAACTATCACATACAATGCTAATTTTGAGATGATTTATTAATCCAAATATCATCAAGGCTTTGGATATTCAATATTATATACGGAGTATGTATTCAAATATGTGAGGTCAAATGTTAACAAAATGAGTTTAACCATTGAATCTATAGCATTTCTTATTCATCTGTTTGGGCTTGTAATTTGAACGTAGGCATTCAAGAAGGCCAGAAGCTTGGGTTTGGGGGACCTTGACTTTTCAGCTGTGTATGAGACTGTGAAGCATGCCCATACTTGACTCTGCAATTTGATTTGGACGAGGATCTCACGGAAAGCAATAAGACATTACCCTATAACACTTTAACCCTTAATGTGCACTCTTATGTTTATGTCATTTCTGTCTGCTTCTGATTGAACTCATTTTGTGCAATTCGAGAAAATCTGTGTAATCTTTTGCATTGTTCATTCATTTGGTCAAATTATTCAAGGCAAACAACCAGTGTCTGTACATATGGTATTGTTACACAAAAATATTAATGCATACAGATGTCTAAAGACGGTTGAGGAAGCGGTCCAGCCCAACTGGTCGCCGACTCACTCTCCCTTACGGGAGGTCTCAGGTTCGAAACTCAATGGAGTGAGTTTCAGCCTATATTACTCCAGCCTCCCCCAGCCCCCCTCCCCCAGATGCCCCCTGGAGTTAAAAAAAATGTCTAAAGACGGTTATTAATAGTTAATATGTTGTACTAGTAGTAAAATGTTGTTTAAGAAGTCCAGTCTTAATAGCTTAAGTGTTGTACTAGTATTAGTAAATTAATTAATAATCTCACATTGGGTTGCTTGTCTACGTTTGAAATAACATGGTGTTTCAAGGCCTCCACTACTTCAACAAGCTCTTGCTAGTTTGCTAGATAGTTTGTGTGCTCAATAGGCTCATTAAGTAAGATTCAGTGCAAAAGCTAGTCGTTTGTGTGTTCAATAGGCTCATTAAGTAAGATTCAGTGCATTTCTGAACTTAATATATGAAGACACTACTTGGCCAGTTTCAGCGTCATGGTCGGACTCTGTCCTTAGATGGTCAAGCTCTGCTCAATGGGGGTACTTATGAGTTATCAAACAAAATACATCGCCTTGCAATAGTGACTTAGTGAGACACTATTAATGTCTTTGGTAGATTTGTGTTATATTGAACTATTAATTTCAACTTTGCGAAAAAGAAAACCCATTAATAGAAGCCTCACTCATCTTGGCACTCTCTAGGGGTGGACTGATCACCGGCCTAGTGTCCAGTGTCCTGCATCGGGATTGTTGGCGGCGGGTGGGCGATCGTTCTTGAGGTTAGTCATGCACCGGGATAGACTGGATAGTTCAACATTTCCTTGGTACCAATATCATGTTGGTCAATTTTGATCCTAGTCTTTCACTGATCATTTCCCCCATATTTTCTTTGATAAATACCTCACTTATTCAATATCTCACTAGAAATCATACAGTTGTAAAGTACGGGTTTCTCAATCAAATAGAAAGATGGGAATGACTTGAATTGTTCGTACATGATTATATCTCGTCATTTCAAAATGTATGTGATAATTTATATTCATTCGTTCTTAATATTATCTTCATTATTTCTTTTTTCATTTGTCCTAAAGCAAATCTTATACTAGGTAATTAAGTAATTAACACCATTTTCTGTTTACAAATGTGTGATCACTCACACACACTTTTTTTATTTAACTTCACACGATCCTATTCACGTTGGGCTCTAGAGGAGGATCTACATATGAACTATGGTGAGTCGAAGTCCAGAGTAGCTCAATTTTTTCAACTTTTTTAGTGTATATTTTTTCTTTTTCATATTTAACTCACTACACTTAGGGATGGATTCGGGCCGGGTCGGGCCGCCGGTTCAAGAAAAGTGGGCCTGGGACCGGCCCGCGGGTTGGACGGATCCGGTTCGGGCCGGGCCACCCGCCCGGGTCACGGGTCGGGTCCGGTTCGGGCCGGGCCGGTTAATTTTTTTTTATAATTTATATTTTATAGTTTATAGTTTTATACGAGTATTAAAAATAAATTTCAATTGCATTTATTTGAAATGAAATAGGAACTACATTTGAAAATTAAAACAAACTTTAAGAGAAACATTTTGAAAATTGTAATCAATCGGAACTTCCTGCACCTCCCGATCCTTTGGCTTTGTCACATGACTTCATATGCTTGATTGCCATCCCGAATCCGCCTGAAGCCCCCATGATACATTTTTTTTCGCACCATTTGCAAATTGCGTACCACATCCCGATCTTCGGGTCCTTCTGCTTATCAAAATTATACCGTATAATGGCATTTTGATTTTCCATCTTAACTTCTTGGAGAAGAGAATATGAGAGTAGATATATAATATATTGGAGAATAAGAGAATTAGAGAGTAGAGAGATAAGAATAGGATTTAGGAAGAATTGGAGAAGAGATATGAAAAAATGTTTAAGATTAGGAGTATTTATAGGTTTTTTTACCCCCCACCACCCAACCCCCCCCGAACCCCCCCTTTACCCCACCCAACGGCTATATAGCCGTTTGGGTTGTCCCCAGCCCCACCCCCAACGGCTAGTAGGAGCCAAGGTTTACCCCTACTAGGAGCCCAAACCAATTTTTTTTTTAAATTGAACCGGACCTGGGCCCGGGCCCGACCCGGCCGGGCCGGGTCACAATAATGCTGAACCGAGCCCGCCCCGCCCCTTCCCACCGGTTCGGGCCCATACCCGGTCCCGGACCGCCCGACCGGGCCGGTCCCGGGCCCGCACAGTACCGGGCTGGGCCGGGTCACGCTCCGAGTGGCCCGAACCGAATCCATCCCTAACTACACTAATGTTTAAACTTAGTACAATTATTTTTTAACCCTCCAAATTTTGGATCCGCCCCTGTTGGCTCATATGCAATACCGTATTTACTTCGAATGAAGCACCAAACACCGAAGTTGTATTTATTTTTCCTTAATTGTGCTCATAAAAATTACTATTTTCTCTTTTTATTACAATAGTTTGACATTCACATTATTCATACCTCCTACTTTAATTTCATTTTATTTATTAGTGCACTAACAAATTATTCTATAGGAAATAATTCTACATTTGTTTTAACGTAGATATCAATTTTTTTGTATTTTTTATTAATAATGAATTAAATATAGTGATCAAAGGTGATGCAAAATTAGGAAATGAGAGGAACTACAAAATTACGAATCAATCTTGCAAACGCCCAAATGCTAGAAGGGCCGTTCCGGGTCTTTAACCAAGCAAATTTAAAGAGGGTTTTAGAACTCTGAAGAGGACTTGTCACGTTTACCTTCTCCTTTTTCCTCTGCAGTCGCAGCTGGATCCAAAGGCCATACGGAATTAAACCAGCAATGGCTGCCTTTGTCACCCCCCCTGCCGCCACAGCTCCTCCGGCAGATTCAAAGCCGGCGGTACCGGAGAAAGTCGACTATATGAATCTGACTTGTCCCATTCCGTATGAGGAAATCCACCGCGAGGCTTTTAGTCAGTATTTTATTGCTATTCGCTTTTGATGTCATTGTTTGTCTTTTTTCTTCTTATTTTCATTCTTAATATCATCTGTATGGTCTAGATGAAATATGATATTCAGGAATGCTAGTATCCCAGTAGTTCCAGTAGTTTTTCCCCTTCAAATTATGTTTTGTATTGCTGCGAGAACAATTTCCAAAATATTATAATTCATTTAAAACTATTTAATTGTTTTATTGGGGGTGGGAGGATTCATCATTTGCAACTTTAATATTCTAGGCGTGTCATTTCCTGGAGGGACTGGCTATCCAAAATAGGAAAACAGTTGAGGAAGATCAGAAGAAATGATGGGAATTCTGGAGTAGAATTTAGAAAGAAAAAACATAAAAATGGTCATTCAAAAACATAAACAAAATCCTAATGTCAGTTCACCATTTACTACAATTGTACTCCATATAAGCTAACATAGCCCTCCACACGCCTGAATTGTTTTACTTCGTGAGCTGAATTCATATTCAAAGTTTGATCAAGACGAGGATTGAGGAAGAAGATGTCTACTGTTGGAGCTGTCGATTAAAATGAAAGTGTATGAGTTAAGAGAGCAGTGGCATTGACATTATAGGTCGGTGATTTGGCAGCATAATTAAACCAAACTGATTGAAAGAACTGAATGAAATAAATAAAAAACATCCAGTGTAGGGCACGTCTGCTGGTTTCATCTGAATTAGTTATTCTCTTTCCATTCATAACATACTGTGTAAGGCTCGTAGATTTTTCCCTTACGGGAGCATCTCACTATCTCAGTGATCTTACCAGAGAAGGAAATTTTACAAATGGTTTGAACTTTTAAGATAATAAGTTTCATGATATTTAATATTTATAGTCAATATCTAATGTTGGTTTCCCAAATGATTGGGCTAAGTCGTAGATCGAATCCTGTAAAGTGGCTGTAGCCTCTACTGTACTCTGTAGACATGATTTTCTGCATTTTATTAGTGCACACTGCATAGTGCATACTATACTTGCATTGTTGAGCTGTTTTCTTTTAAAATGATGAATATGCAGTTTTTAGGCAATGCACCGCCACCTCAACATTTGCAGCTTAGATTAATAGGTGCATAAACAGCATATATACTTGTTATAATGAGCAAGTTTATTGTTTTGTTCATCATCATTATTAGTTGAGTTGTCATCATATCATCATTCATCATCAGTCATTAGTTCATTACTCTATTTAGATCGAAGGTAATGCTGTTATTCCCTGGTTCATTGATATCTTTTCATATTGTATAGTTTGCTGAAAAATTTAGGCTTTGAATCAATACAGTGCAACTATTTTGATACAAATTATTATTATGGTAGTGTCTCTGAAGCCAGAACTTTTCGAAGGCATGCGCTTTGACTTTACAAAAGCACTCAATCAAAGTTTTTCACTCAGTCATAGGTAAATTTTTATTTTCAATTTATTTCTAATGGTAGATTCATTATTTTCAGTGCATACCTTCCTTTTGTTTTAGGCCGGAAAACCAGTTATACTCTGTTTGATGCGGATAGTTTTTCTTTTTCATGGTTTATCAGTGTGTTCATGGGACCCACAGAAGTTCCCTCTCAATCCACAGAAACACTAAAAATTCCAACTGCTCATTATGAGTTTGGTGCAAACTTCATAGATCCTAAGGTGTGTTGTTGGAGTACTTTCTCATTTATCTCGTCTATCCAGACTTCTGGAAAACTGCAACCACCGTATATTGTGAATAACTGAATACTGCACGGCTGTGACAGTTGTTTCTAATTGGGAGGGTGATGACAGATGGGCGGCTTAATGCTAGAGTGAAGTGTGATTTGTCTGACGCTCTTTCTGTGAAGGCCAATGCTCAAGTAAGGCATACGGGATTATGATCTTTATAATTTCATTTTTATTGTCTGAAATTGTAGATGCAGCTATTATTTATTCTAATAATAATGCCTAAATGACTCTTATTTCATTTTCTCCAGATATCAGATGAGCCACATATGTCACAGG